AGAAGAAGAAGAAGAAGAAGAATTGGGAGGGATGAAACCCTCTTTAATGGTCACACATGCAGAGCACACAGCACACACAGTTGAAGGTTCTAGTACCAGGAGTCTAGTACTAGGAGCAGTGGGCAGCTATTGTACAGCGCCCGGGGAGCAATGGGAGTGAGGGGGGAAGGGGGATGTCCGGTGCCTTGCTCAAGGGCACCACGGCAGGGCAGGAGGTGAACTGGGACCTCTCCAAGTAGAAGTCCACACTCCACATTGTCTGGTCGGGGACTTGAACCGGCGACCCTATGGCTCACAGTCCAAGCCCTTACTGACTGCCATAGATTTAGTCCCTAATTTTGCTCTCAAAGTGCACCAGATTGATGCATTTAACTTCAACATTTAAAAAAATCTACCCGGGGGAGCTTGCCCCCGGACCCCCCTAGAGGAGGTGAGGTCCACCACCTGCCCACACCCCGTTAAATTGTCTCACCCACATTGAAGATGCTTTCTACGCCCATGTTTTATTCCATGCGTCAAGTCAGGCAAATTGGGTCCAAATGTTATTGCATCAATGATCTGTTAACATTAAAATCACAAAATATATGCCGTAACTATTTTGCTCTAGGCAACTCAAGGGCTCAGGTAATGTGATTACTATATGAATAATGGTCCAAAATAACATTAAATGCATAGGATTTTTTGTTAAGTAACATACTTTCGTCGCCGGCCGGCCGATACATGCCGCTCATTAAGTGGGCCTGTCTGGCAATTAATCCCCGGGCCACTTTTTCCCCCCAGTCCGCCCCTGGATGTATGTCAATTTAAATCAATACATAAAATTATTTTTTAAATCAATAAAATCATTTTCTAGATCCATAAAAGCATTTCAATTAATATTGGGAGTCATGTCGTTACTTTGTTGAGAATGTGGCCATGTGTAATAAGCGGGATAATGTGCACATTGCACATTGCATAATGTGCCTTCATGCCGATCTAGATCCCTCTGCAAAAAAATAAAAAAAAACGGCTCGTTCGCGGGCGAGAGCCGGCTCCCGTCGTTCACTTAAAAAGTTCACGTTCGCGACGGACACATCACTGCCTCCTATACTGGAGTTACAACTGGGGCGGCGAGTGGGGAATTGTGTCTCATAATGGGTGCCCAATTAACATCGTATGAAACGGATCTTGCCGATCTCAACGAGACATTATGGGAAAATGTGGAATTGTGGAGAGAGATGACTCTACTCTGGGATGAATGCAATCGTTTTTACTGAATGCATTTTTCACACACACACCACCTTATAGAGAACCACAGTGACGCATCCTAAAACCCGGATGTGAACTCCTTCCGGTTCCTTCGTCAAAAACGCAATGCAATTTCTCCATAGGATTTTGGAAAATAGCTCGAAATAAGGTCTGTGGTTGAGACACATTTAAGAGACGGATCACGTTTTGTTCAGCCGGATAATATCCACATGTCTACCCTACTTTTATAATTTTGAAGCATAAATCTAGTCGCAAGAAGCCAAATGCTAACGTTATGCTATAAAGGAACTACAGCAGGGTCGCTGCTTCAACGTCACCCCAATTTAAGATCCATATTCAAACATACAGATTGTAAATGGTACAAGTTGAAGTGTTTGTTTGAACACTTTGCAGGAGGACTTGCTTTCAAGCAGAACAGGGCAAACAAACTTAGCGGGAGTGTTTTACGTGTTCGGTGTAATGACGTAAAACGGCCTGGACAACTTCTGTAGTCCTATTCAGCCACTTGTTAACAACCATCGTTTTTCAGACACGTAAACTCTTCAAAAATCACCAGTGGGGTCACTACTGATGTATTTAATGTTGTAGAAGAAAACGTGATCTGTCTCTTTAATTTGTGTCAAACACAGACCTTTTTTGGACCTATTTTCCAAAATCCTATGGAGAAATTGCATTGCTTTTTGTCGAAGGAACCGGACGTGGTAAAAATGCTAACTTACTTCCGGGTTTTAGGATGCGTCACTGCGGTACTCTATGCCCCTGAATGGAGGAGGGACGCTGCAAAACTGGAGTGAGTAACCCAGTCTCAGTGCCCCGTCCATCCACTCTGTCAGTACACAGGGCTTCCATTCCCCATAAAACTATGTTCAGGGGACATGCCAGCAGCTGTGGAGCCGCAGCTAAGAAGCTGTAGTACTCTCTGGTGGCCTACTCCGCCGCCAAACCTTCCATAACAGGAAGATTGGTTCATCGGGGGCTGACACAGAAAGGGCCGATTTTTTACTGACGTCCTTAAACGCACCGCGGCCCGATCTCTTTGATATGTGGCATTGTGGAGAGAGATGACTCTTACTCTGGGATAAATGCAATCGTTTTTACCGAATGCATTTTTCACACACACATCACACTAGAACTAGGTTACAACACGTAACCCACCGTTCTTCTGCGGAGGTCCCTGAACGCAGCGCGGCCACTCTTACGGTGGGCCGCGCGCCCTCGTATTAACGCTGTATTTCACCCGCGGTGAAACGCATTAATCAAAGCTATTATACCAGGCAAGGTGTGTTTTCTGACAACAGCCATGTAGACATCGCATGAAAAGCTTGGTTTTGGCTGGGTTAGTCAGACAGAAACAATAAAGACCTAAAAGCCTGTTAGTTGGAGCAGATTGGCCGGGTGGACACCGGATGTTTCTGGCGGTGTGCAGTGGCGGCGCCAGGGTATGGCTGGGGTAGGCTACAGCCATACCAATAAATGGCTTAGCCCCACCATGAAAAATGATGTTAAAGTAAGCAAAATAAAGTCCGCCAACTCGCGCGGAGTAAATTGCACAGACAGCAGTTAGTCATTTTCACCCCACGGTTTGATGATTGGTAGGTGTGTGGGCTGTCTTTCATTTTGACACACAGAACAATGGGAGCTATCCACCCTTATCCAAAATGTAAAGTAATTCACAGCCTCTTCCCGCTTCTCTCTGTGAGGAGCAGCAGGTTCAACTTTCAGAACAAAGTAACAAAAAACTAAAATGGCATTCATTTTTTTAAATATGTCGTGTAGTAATAGATGTATTTATTGTTCTTCTCAAGAGAGTACCAGAATGTGTATTTTATGTTAGTATTTCAAAAAATCTCCGGGGGGAGAATCCCCCCAGACCCCCCTACAGGGGTTGGGTTTTCAGCATGTCAACTCTTTCACCTGTGGAGAAATTGCAGGATTGGCTCCAGGTCGCCCTTTTTATTTACTACAAGACAAATGTGCCTTTTTATTTCATACAGCTCAATTTGGATTGAGACAGGGAAATAATCTAAACCTCACGCGTGGCGTTTCACTGTCAAGGGGAGCGTGTATGTAATTACATTGCAAATACTGACTTGAGCCCCACCACTGTATGGGTTAGCCCTACCATAGATTACCCAACACAAATACTCTGGAGCCGCCACTGCCGGTGTGTGACTTGTATCATCCTCGTCTCTCAGCCTGAGCAGTGACAAGCTCATTCATACAAAGTGTGAGAGCAAGAATCTTCTGGTTGCGGCTTATAGTCAAAATAATTATAGTAGCACAAACAGATGATAAAATCCATGCTAGGTCGTCATACAGCGGCGCTAGTCCTACGTTGTTGACTTATCTATGTCATAGAAATAGTAAAAGAGCGCTGGGAGCGTTTTTTTAGTATGCTTTCACTTTCTGTCAGAGAAAGGCGCTATGTGGAAACGGGCCCCATTTTTCTTGTGGAGAACAATCATGCTATATAAAAAACACAGAAAACAAACATCAGAATATTTCACGTTGTGTCATCTGTGAATAGCCGGAAATTAGAAACCCTTTGGAGCCAAACAGGCATGCTAATAAATTAGCTTCTGGCTAATGCAATGGTTAACACTACCATGTAGCATTGTTCTCTCCCAGCTAAATTAACAGGGACATGTGAAGAACAGTATATCTGTATCCTACCTGCAACTGGTCTCTGAAGCAAGAAAGACAAAGAGGATAAGCCATAGCCGTTTTGAAAGGCCTGACAGAAGGATCATTCTCTTAATACCATAGTGACATTCAGATCGAGGTCAAAACAGATCAGAGATTCCTCCCTATCACACTTCTTAGTGTAATTAGCAGAGTTGGGTGTGTAACGCGTTACTGTAATAATAGTACTTTTGCCGGTAACGGAGTAGTGTAACGCGTTACTTTTATAATTAGTAATCACACTAGTTACTAACATTGCCCCGGCACGCGTTACTTCGTTACTTTTATAAAATAATCACACTCACTGACAGACAAGAGGGGTTTCAGCCGCAGGTTTACAGTCTATGGTTTATATACATGTAGGCCTATGTAATCTGCGCGACTTGCGAGACCACATCTCCACGTGCAGTGCTGCATAAACATGGCTGAGTCTTCTCATCTGTAAACTCCCTCAACGGGGCCGCTCGCTCTCTTTTGTTGATCGCCCTCTCACGGGTGAACAGTTCAATGTCCCGCTTCATTGTAGGAATTCTGCCATGTCTCTACCACTTTAGTTTGACCATCTCTGTTACTAAGTTATGGAATACTAAATAAATAAGTAATTAGATACCTTACCGTTATGCGCTCATAAAGAATGATAAGAATAATGCGTCTTGAACTGGTTTCATTAATTAGTGTCTTTACGTTTCACAGACTGTTAGCTTGTTGTGGTAGGCTGGTAGCCTATTTTAGAGCATATCAAAAGAAAGACTTGTGTTATGTCTTCCTTAATGCAATAGTAATTGGGGGGTGCAAGTGGAGTCTCGCAGAGGCAAAACTGTGGCGCGCTTACACTGTAGGTGCGCCGCAGTCTGCGTGATCTGCCTGTAGGGAGGGGCGGGCCGGCCCTGCGAGTAAAGTAACGAGTAAAGTATGTAGAGAGTAACGAAGTAGTGTAATATATTACTTTTTTTTTAAGTAATATGTAATATATTACTTTTTTTTAGTAACGACCCCATCTCTGGTAATCAGTGGCATAGTTCATGGAGATGGATTTCTTGAAATGCAAGCCTCTATGTTTTTGTCTACAGCAGGAGAAGTACGGAAAGACCAGAATCAGAGTACACAGACAAACTCCAACAACATTACACCAGTGGTCACAGTAAGTAGCATCTTTGACTGCGTTGTTATCAAATAGGATGTTCTTTGTGGCTGGTTTGGGTTTGGAAGAGCACATCAAAATTCCAGGATCGTTTTACTCTGTGCTGTGATGCTTCCGTTTTGTATGTGTATAGCCGTTGCTGTCTCTCTTCTATCTCTCTGTTGAAGTGTCACCTGGAATGAAAATCTACATCGACCCCTTCACATATGAAGACCCTAATGAAGCAGTCAGGGAGTTTGCCAAGGAGATTGACATGTCCTGTGTCAAGATTGAACAAGTTATTGGTGCAGGTAAATAGAAACAGTTCATGAAAAAAGAAATGAAGTCAGAGAAGCAGCTGAGGACTGAACAGTTTTTTAACATTTTACAGAATGTATTGGAACTCTTCAGGGCTCTGAGGGTCCTGACCTGACATCATGGCTTTCCTCCCTGAAACATACCATATTAATGTCCAACAAGATAAAAACACAGTTTATGTACCATTGCTATGAAAATGATGTCATAGAAAATGATAGTTATTTATAATTCATTTACTTTGATTTTCATTACGGCTTTTAAAGACAAGTGTAACTAAAGACCATTTTGAATTCAGCGTGATGAGTTTACCTCTGCTATTTAAAATATACTTGCCATTCCTCTGACTTCCTCTCAGGTGAGTTTGGGGAGGTGTGCAGTGGGAACCTCCGACAGCCTGGGAAGAGAGAGATCCTGGTAGCCATCAAGGCGCTGAAGGCAGGCTACACTGAGCGCCAGAGGCGGGACTTTCTGAGCGAGGCCTCCATCATGGGCCAGTTCGACCACCCCAACATCATCCATCTGGAGGGGGTGGTTACCAAAAGCACCCCTGTGATGATCGTCACTGAGTTCATGGAGAACGGATCCCTCGACTCCTTCCTCAGGGTAAAAACGACACAATGATAAGCATTGGTGTACATTCACCAAAATACTGTACCTAACTAACATTCTGAGGTAAATGTACTTTACTTGCATATTTCCATTGTATGCTACATTGTACTTTACTCCTTTAAGAATATGTATGTAGTACCTTTAGTTACTTTGCAGATATAGATTAATGATAAACAATATGATCAACAGCTAAACTTTAGATGCACTTGGATTACATTTACAATTAGTTAAAATTAACTTCACCTTTACAAGCTTTAAAAACACGTCAATATCTCAATAATAATAATCTAAAAAAACTAAAATATATACCATTCTGAAATGGGCCAATCATCATAATCAGTGCTTTTACTTTTGGTACTTTAAGTATATTTTGATGCTGATACTTTTCTACTTTTACTTGAGTAATATTTGAATGTACAAATGTTACTTTTTACAGAATATTCAGACACCTTATTATTTCCACTTTTTCTTGAGAACAAGATTTGAGTACTTCTTCCACCTCCGCTGACTAGTGAAAAGGTTCAGTGCTTAGTTCAGGAACAGGGGCGGATCTAGAAAAATATTCATGGGGTGGCAGGACAATTTCAGGGGTGGCATCCCCTGGCAGAAGTATATGCTGATTTAATCGCAGTCATATCAATCAATGTTAACTTGGAAAGCCACAATATTGATATTTTAACTCAATAACATTTTGTGACATTATTGTGGCACATCAGTAAAGCCTTACATATAAATATAAGGTGGCAGACATCATTTAATGAATTTTAACTGAACAATAACTGAATGAGTTTGTCTCACTCTTAGACCAGCAGGGGTACCAAATCAATGCAGACTGCTGCAATAAGTACATTCATTAACTGTCTCATCGATGTTTGTCTGTATGAATATGATAATATTAACAATCATATTATTCCTATCAGCTGTCAATCACTGTTATGATTCACATATTCAGTGTTATTATTAAATAAACTATATTTGTTGGAGGAGTTAATGATGAATGTTCCTCAAGATGCTTGCTCACCCTCCTTCAAATTTGAAAGACAAGTAATTACTATCATATATCAAAAGAATCAAAGGAACAGTTCAGCGCCCCACGACTTCATTGCAAACAGTTACAACCTTGACTTTACATCAGAAAGAACAAACATTAAAGAAGTGACTAACTGCATCAGTTAGGGTTAAAAAACGTGTATTCAGCTAAAACATAAACATAAACAGCTATTATCCAGTGGAAAGTCCTTACCTACTGGCCTAGTTAAATCAAAGTGGTTACTTTATTTTGGCTGGACCGTGAAGTTTTATACACCGTCTTATTTGACTTTCTCAGGACTTAAAACAGTTTTTTGGGGGCAGAACCCCACAAAGAAGAAAAATATTATACACACGTAAGGTCATCATCTTAACAGTTTATTATTCTCATCGACTCATCCGTGAGCAGAGCATCAAGTTGGCATGCCTATAACAGCTGAATGTGGTGATTACCATCTTGTTCAGCAAAACGCCTCACAAACTTATTAAGATTTAAAGCTATGGTGCGTTTTGATTCAATGCTGAGTACAGCCAAACTTGACAGGCTCTTCTCTGTCATTGTAGACCGCAAACAGTGGCGGCGCCAGAGTATTTGTGTTGGGTAACCTATAGTAGGGCTAACCCATACAGTGGTGGGGCTCAAGTCAGTATTTGCAATGTAATTACATACACGCTCCCCTTGACAGTGAAACGCCACGCGTGAGGTTTAGATTATTTCCCTGTCTTAATCCAAATTGAACTGTATGAAATAAAAAGGCACATTTGTCTTGTAGTAAATAAAAAGGGCGACCTGGAGCCAATCCTGCAATTTCCCCACATGTGAAAGAGTTGACATGCTGAAAACCCAACCCCTGCAGGGGGGTCTGGGGGGATTCTCCCCCAGGACATTTTTTGAAATACTAACATAAAATACACATTCTGGTACTCTCTTGAGAAGAAAAATAAATAAATCTATTACTACACGACATATTTAAAAAAATGAATGGTATTTTAGTTTTTTGTTACTTTGTTCTGAAAGCTGAACCTGCTGCTCCTCACAGAGACAAGAGGAGAGGCTGTGTGAAATACTTTACATTGTGGATAGCCCCCATTGTTCTGTGTGTCAAGATGAAAGACAGCCCACACACCTATCAATCATCAAACCGTGGGGTCTTATTTCATTACGTGTTGATTTCTATCAACACGTAATGTTGTATCGATGTATCGGGACTTCCTGCAACAACACCACGCCGTTATCGTGATTCTGATTGGCCAGAAGACATTATCAAAGATGTTCTATTGAGAAGACGATCACTACGTGACAAAAGTTTTCAAAACCGTTTCTAGTCTTCGGTATTTCCAGACAAGTGGCTACTGAAATCAATCTTACTAACTGCTGTCTGTGCAATTTACTCTATGAGTTGGCGGACTTTATTTTGCTTACCTTAACATCATTTTTCATGGTGGGGCTAAGCCATTTCTTGGTATGGCTGTAGCCTACCCCAGCCATACCCTGGCGCCGCCACTGACCGCAAATACTTAATTCCTTCCGTCTACTTGGATCCGAAATGCTTCTCGTTTTGCGCTGTCCCCCGTTCAAATGAAATCGCCTCCAATGATATTTCCACGCTCGTTCCAGGGCCAGGGGAGGGGTTACAAGGCTCGCGTCTTGTGCTGCATTCACTTGCACTCGGACATTAGAGATTTTCTCTCATAAATGTCCGATGAGCCACAACTTTTTTTTCAAAACAAAGCTGTCTTCTGAGGTGGCAGCTGCCACCCCGTGCCACCCTGTAGAACCGCCACTGTTCAGGACAAAGTCCAGTCATATGGTATGAAGGTAGATATGATGCAAAATGTGCGAGCGTGTAAAACCTGATGTGAGCACTTGCAGAAAAAAAAATCTGAGCTTGTGTGCATACATTTACACTTGTATAAAAATATCCACGTAACTGTGAACCAAATGTACACTTGTATAAAATATCTACGTAACTGTGAACCAAATTTGAAGTCACAGAAGTTTTGTAGCTTGTAGGAAAAAAATGAACTTAGTGATGAAATGTTCACTTGCAGAATTATTTTTTTTTTTAAAATATATTTTCCATTACAACTGCAACTTGGTTATTACAACCTCTCAAATCAGTCATTACAACTTGACGAATCTGCTCTGTGGCAGTATTAATTGATGAATCTGCGGTCTTGACTTTTGCTACACTTCTTGCAATGAATGTGTCGCTTAAGTAATTTTCACCTGTAGATGTGGGGGAGGGAGGCGGGTTGGAGCGTAAATGTATACACAAAGCCAGCCAAGACATGGATTTATATTAATTCAAATGTACAGTCCTATTATCCAGCACACCTTGGGTTCAGCCAAAAAGAAAAAAAAAACATTAACTTGATGTTTCTTTCTGACAGCAAAACGATGGGCAGTTCACGGTGATCCAGCTGGTGGGAATGCTGCGTGGCATAGCAGCAGGGATTAAGTACCTGTGTGACATGAACTACGTCCATCGAGATCTGGCAGCGAGGAACATCCTGGTCAACAGCAACCTGGTGTGCAAAGTGTCCGACTTCGGACTGTCACGATTCCTCGAGGACGATACTTCAGACCCCACCTATACCAGTGCTCTGGTGAGACTTCAGTATGTGTACTATGTTACCATTAGATTACATCCCAAGATGACACTTCATGTTCCAGGTACATTTTTTTCTCTTCAGGCTATTTACAAAGCTGCTAAAAGCCACTGGGAGATGTGCCTCTTCAATGTTGATCCGGTTTCTATATTGGACATTGTGTTTTAAATACATTTTCACTGATTGGTTAACTGTTATTGGTCTGTACATTTCAAATATATTTATATACCTCTATTATTACAAAAATGTTCTATCCATAGGAAAATGAAAATTACTTGATTGGATTAGATAATATTAAATAAAGGAATCAAAGTTATTCATTATATTTAATCAATTTTAACCATTGCTTTAAAGGGGACCTATCATGGAAAATGCACTTTGTGATGTCTTTTATACATAAATATGTGTCCCCGGTGCGTCAGGGAACTCACACAGCGTCAGAAAATAAAACCCTCTCTCTTTTCCTCCGTACCCAAATATTTTTAAAACAGGTGTACAACGAGCGGATACAGATTTCCATCCGAACTGACGTCAAATCGGCGGCGGACCCACAGAAAGTTGCTATCAGAAACAATGCCTGACGTGTTTTGGACGTCTTTGTTTACGTTAGCAAGCCTCGCTAACACTCAGAGCTAACCTGTACTGAAGAGCACATGGGTTTAAAAAGCAGGAAATACAAAAAGGAACTCACCTTGTGATAAACCTGCAAGAGAAAAAGCATTTGAGCTCCATACTGTTTCAGAAATAATCTTTGACGTGGTTTAAACAGGATGGCGTTTTATCACAACCGAATTTAACTTGATCTCCGGTAGAATTCTGATCAGGCATTTGGTCTGCCTCCTCTTATTTATTTTTTTCAAGCTAAGGACCCAAAATCTGAGTTTCTCTAATGGCGCGTTTCCACTGCAGCGGGTAGCTCGCTTTAAGCGTGCCGAGCCGTGCGGGGCCCGTTTTTGGTTGCGTTTCCACTTGGCCTAGTTTTGGCCCGGGGCTACTTTTTCACCTTTTTTCTGGCCCGACTAAATCGTGGTTCTAGGGCCAGGAACAACCAGGCTGAGTCGGGCTGAGTATGCTAAACTAGAGAGAGAATCGCTGGCAAGGGGGCTACAACTACAACAAGATGAACATATTTGACCGTGATTTAATTGTAATACACGTTTCAAAATGATGCCGAAGTAACAACATACTGATACCGGTTAGTAAAAACCATGAATTAATGCTTTGACAAGTCTGCAGACAGACGTGTTTTCTAAATGGAGCTTGGCTAAGCTAACGTTATATATGCTCCGACCGTCCACACTCACAACAACAGCCTATACAAACATAAATAAACCAGCGACTGTATTCGCCATGACACAGGCAGTCTGTGGTTTGTACTTGTTTAACTTTTGTTTAGTTTCTGAACAGATATGAAGAGCTGTGAGCTCTGAGTGCTAAGAGCTAACGGCTGTGTTGTTTTTTGGGGCGCTCATTGAAGATGACGTCACGGCTCCGCCTACACTGCGTTACTATAGTAACTACCCCAGTTCCTAAACTGTAATGGAAGCGCAGCATTAAAGTGAGCCAGGCCTAATAAGGCCTAACCAAACCGAGCGAGGCCGAGCGAGGCCTGCAGTGGAAACGCGCCATAACAGGGCTTCAAAAGAGGGGTTTGAGGAGTATGAGGCATGGCTACAATGGGTGATCTGTTTTGTATAGGTATGGCCCTACAATATATATTTCAAATATAGCATGATAGGTCCACTTTAAGTTGCTGTCTTTGCCTCCCTTCTCTCTGTATCATTATGACATAAACCATTTTTTTCCCCAGGGAGGGAAGATTCCCATCCGGTGGACGGCTCCAGAGGCCATTCAGTACAGGAAGTTCACCTCCTCCAGTGACTGCTGGAGCTATGGCATAGTCATGTGGGAGGTGATGTCATATGGAGAAAGGCCGTACTGGGACATGAGCAACCAGGATGTAAGGACAGCCCTGTGGAACAGCCAGCATTCATGTTTTAGTACTTATCACAGAACTGCAACAGAAAGCTGTGTATTATAGTGATGGACCCTTATTGAATCACTGTGTAGGGTTCTATGTGATTATAGCTCCTTCAAATTATTCGATCACTTGGCAATCAAAGTAAAATTAAATTATTTGTGTAGTGCGCGAGACAAACAGTTAGCAGCCACATTAGTTTGATTTTAGGATTGGGGGGGGGGGGGGGTGGGGGTCAGGTCACGACTCCACCACTGCGACTATATCCTGACAACGTGAACCACACAGTACATTCACAAGGTAGCATCACCCTATAGCTGTTCTGCTCATTGTCTATTTGACTCTTATTGGGACCATAATAATAACTAAAATCGTTTTGAGGTCGTAATTAGCTGACATGGTCACATGATGAGAGCTCAAATATCCAACACTGTAAAATGTAGTGTGCAGTGCTGATGAACTGTATCCCTGCTGCCTCTTCAGATCTGCCTCGGTTTGACAGTTCATAGTCTAAATTATTGTTTGTAATATAATACATTTTCCAAAAAATACTGAAGATAATATCCCAAAAAGAACATGAAATTAATGAAAGAAATTATAAATGTCATTAAACTAAAAACTTCATTGGATTTAAACTGATATGTAATGTTTATCAATCAGTTCAATCCTAGTTGCAATGTGTAAGATCTGGCTAAAATGTAAATGTATAATTTAATCATTTCGTGTTGAGGTGATCCAAGTCGTCTATGTGATGTGTTGCAGAGATAGCAAAACAATGAGCATGCTAACTGACTAGCCCCCTGCTCGTCTTGTATAGCACTCATTCCTCATGATGAGGAGTGGTCCCATGCCATCAGTATTAAGGTAGGGATTTAAAGGGATTAGCGGGTGCAACGATAGGCTTGTGAGAATGGAGAGAGGAGTGATTGGTTAGCTGGGGAGTGACGCCCCCGATCACTTAATGAGGGAGGAGAGAGTATTGAAATGACATGTAATATGAATGAAGAGCTTGGTCTTCCTGATTGAACTTGCACTGAGCTTCATTTGTCTGATGTACTTTATAGTTTGACTTTTATTTAAATATTGATGTGTTTATTCAGAACCATAACTTAATATAGATTTAATAACCCTCATCATTACATAAAAGATAAAAAAACAGTTTTTTCATCATCAAACACATATTATCAACCACTATTTAAGCACTGCATTTGTGGTCTTAATATGGCAAGGACAGTTTGATAATTAAAGCCAAGACTCATTTGAGATCAAATGAAACCCCTGTCCCGGATCTCGGTTACTTTCAGCCAGTCATTCATTACTTTAGAGAGACGTAGGGATTGTGTGTCTTAAATGTTGAGTGTTGTTCTGGATTCTTTCAGCTTCAAGTCATGTTCTCAGACTCTGAATGAATTGTCATATCAATCCTTATAGGTCATCAATGCCATAGAGCAGGACTACAGGTTGCCCCCCCCAATGGACTGTCCTAATGCCCTGCATCAGCTGATGTTAGATTGCTGGCAAAAAGACCGCAACAACCGGCCCAAATTCAGCCAGATTGTCAGCACCCTAGACAAGATGATCCGCAACCCCAACAGCCTGAAGGCCACCACACCGCTGTCATCAAGGTATGGAAATGAAAGGTCGCTGTAAATGACCTAGACCGCTCAATGACCTCGTCACAGGCTTTCATTTTGTTATCTTACTTCTTCCTGTGCTGCAGTGTTCACTTACCTCTGCTGGACCGCACCACTCCAGACTTCTCCTCTTTCAGCACAGTGGATGAGTGGCTGGAGGCCATAAAGATGGGCCTGTACAAGGAGAACTTTGCCAACGAAAGCTTCACCACCTTTGAACTGGTGTCGCAAATGACCATGGAGTATGTTCAACACTCCTTAAAACCCCATCCCTAACCCTAACCCTCACACAAAGAGAGATCATACATGAGTATAATCATGAGTCTCATACTGAATCTCCTGATTATTGTTGGTTTCATCTTATTTCAAAACCTAATGCAATGTTTGTTAATGCTCCTAGTGTGCAATAGAAAATATGTCTAATCAAATATGAAATATAATATAAAGTAAAGTCTACATATTTGCCTATCCTCGGTTAGAGCAGCATGTAGGTATCCTGAGTGGCATGACAAGGGATACACATTGGAATGTATTCAGTAGTTTAGTCTTGAATTACAGTATACAGTGTGAGTGTGGTGACATACTGACACGTGGTTTATCTTCAGGGACATCTTCAGAGTGGGAGTGACACTGGTCGGTCACCAGAAGAAGATCCTCAACAGCATCCAGTCCATGAGGGCCCAGATGAACCAGATCACCTCAGTGGAGGTGTGATGTTGCAGAGGAAGCCTACCTGCAACCATCGAGGACACTTTCAGTGACTTTATCCCACACACACTAACACACACCACCAGCACCACACAGATGTTTAGGAGTGTTCTTGTAGCTGCTGTATGTTCAGCTAACATGCAGGCCTTTGTGTTGTGGAGGACCATACCCATAGCCCGCTTCAAATGCTCCGTGTGCTTCACAGGACTCCTTGTGTTTATTCTAGTAATAACACACCAAGTTCAACCATCAGTGAGCAATCAGTTTCCAAAACTGGCCTTGCACTTACATGACTCACTGCTGGAAATTAAAATGAACAAAAGTGAAAAACAGTGACAACTAAACTCAACCTACAGTATGTGCTCATAGCTGGCAGCACCCATTTCTTTCTGATGCAGAATTTCTTACGGCTCTTACTGAGAGCAGCTCTGACTGCTGGCTCTGAAACAGTAACGCTGGTCTTACACGTTTTCTATGAGCGGCCCCTGGGCACAGTGCTGGGACCCTAGATGTTAATTTGAAGGTATACTCCGTAACAGTTTCATCATATCAAACACATTTTTGGTAATCTTAATGGCTGGCTGTTTTAAAGTGATTTTGACTGGAATGCAAAAATGCACACATGGTTCAACCAGTGTACGCACATTCATTCACAGGAAAGGATGCGCCCACACACTAGTTATTGTATCTGATGTGAAACGTCATCTCTCCTCTGGTCCAGTCTGCAGCGGCACTGTGAACACATCTACCAGACGCTCTGCTTCTGAAGCAGCTCTGGGATCTGTGGGGAAAAACATACTTGTCATTAGCAGTAGTAACTTCAGATGGCACATAACAACAGCACTTCATTCATAATAACTGTACCCACAGATACGCACAGTTGATTGGCCTACTTCCTCACCTCCACACACTCTGCCATCAATAGTCGAATTCTCTATTTCCAAACATTATAAGATATCTAAAAATACTAAATGTATAAATAAAGCAAACAATAGTTCTAATACACATGGGTTCATGGCAGTGACCAAACAATATCCAGCACCACAAAGGCAGATTATTGCACTCTGGTGAAGCTGCATTTCCAGCGCATGCAGCAGCTCTACTAGACTCGCCCCCCCTCACACGATATAGGTTTCCACTGCATACGGCCCTCAGTGAAGGGTCAGCTGACACTGCCTGACAGCTCTGATTCAACAGGACTGAATTTCTTCCATATTCACCAGGAACGTCTGCACTTGCTCTATTGGACGTTGCAGTTTAAGGCATAGTTTTACCAGCCTGTTTTACATTTGGCTTCATTGAAAAAAAAGCGATCCCTGTTGACAGTAGGTTGGCTAACGTCTGGTTGGTGCAGGATGTCCATTGACACGCTAGTGATCTCTCTGATCAATCAGTGGTCTGCAGTTTGGCCTTCACCTTATCCATTCAGCTCTCTGGGATCTTCTGCTGGGGGGTACTACTCAAGTCTTCATGAGTCCAGTAGAGCCGCAACATGTGGTGGAAACGGGCCATAGGAAAATTAAACTTGGGTTGTGTGCAAAGTTAAAGTTAAGAAGTCGGCAGTTCTTGTCATGTGTCATTGCTGCTCAGGCAGGGGCTGTGTTGGGTGTCGTTTTCATTTGCTCCACATCTGGGATGAGGTGAAGAGATATGCCCTTTAAAAGGGCTCTTTAAAAAGTCACCTCATATTGCAATCTCTGAAGTTGGATATGATGTTTAACTTTTGTTGTTTGACTTTACAAATGGTTCCCTCAATGTAGTTTGAGCTGCTCGTCTAAAATTACCATTAATGTCATGAACAGTGATATTTAAAAGCCACTTTGCTGATAGGGTTATAATCATTTTACCAAACCAACATTTTAAACCTTGAAATACACCTGAGCCCCCTGAAATGGACCATATGCAAATGTTGATTAGACCCAATCTGTCTGTCATTCCCTCTGATTGACCTTCCCATGTCCAGTGAGTAGGGACAGTCTGAGTCAGGAAACAGTTCACTCAAATCAAAGTCTTCTCAGTGCTGCAGGTGTGTTTTGGAGTTTCAGATACTATGCTTCCTATTTTCAGGCATTTCGAGAAGAATCACAGTCATCATCTTGTACATATCAAAATACTTTGCTATATTTTGGCGTAGACCCCAACAAACAGCTGTCTGATATTTATCACAGTCCAGTTACCCCGCCAACACTGATGTGCAATCTCTTTTTGAGTGTTTGAGTGTTAATATTGAAATATCTCCACATTCCAAAGTTATCTCCCAGCTCATTGTGCTGTGCTTTTAAACATACACAGGTTGTACACAAATGCATCGGTATGATATAATATATTACCATATATTACCGTTATTACGAGAGCTGTATTCCACCTAATGCTCATACTGTTAATGTCAGCTTATTTCTGATGACAGACGAACTTAAGGACAGATATCTGAGCTGAATCACTTGCTTCATCACAATCATCACAAAGCCCATTCTTCACTTGGAATACCACCACTCACAATATCTGAATTTCTGATGTACTGATCTCACAATTACAATAATCTTGTGATTAAGAGAAATATTTTGTATTTTAAATTAGATTACAGATATGGGCCTTTTCACGATTTTCCTCAATTGAAACAACAACGTTGTTTGTCAGTACCCATCACTATTACAATCCATATGACTCCCGGCCGCTGAGGGGAGGGTTTGTCGCAGTACTTATAATACCATCATTATATTAGAGCTGCAAAAAGAGGCTGTGTTATGCATTTTAATAAACAGCTCATGCTGTCCTTTTACATTTGGGAAGAAGAAGGCATTTTGATCTCCTTCCAAATGAGTGTTGATCCTCTCAGGTGTTCAGTAGGACATTCATGTCCTGTCCTCACTTGTCCCCATTAAGCATGGGCCCTTTCACTCCGATCATCTGTCCTGTACATATTCTCCAAAGGTGCATAATCCCTTTATGGTTAGAAGGATCCAGCCATGTGAGATCCTGATGCTGTACCAACACGCTTTCTAAAACCATCCTAAGGGAACCTGTTTTTAGACTTCACAGAGACAGTACCTCTCAGAACTCTATTTTGTTGGTTTTTAAAAAGTCAACTTTTGATAATGGCACTTTTTATAAACCGTAGCCGGTTACGACAATAATTTATACTTCACAGCAGAGAGAAAATTATTCTCACCTTAGGTCATGTGACGTCTGAGTGATTATTTTTGGTATCAGGACGTTGAGCATGAAAAACCTTTTTCTTCTACTGTGCAAGCACAAAGCACTCATTTTTGATGTACCTTACACAAGTACTAACCTGAAAACCCTCTGAACCTGGTCTTTTTCGTAAATGGTCAGAATGTCCTCAATTTGTATGAGGTACAACATTTTGATTTTGTGATAGCTTCCAATAGAACCTCCAAACCCGTAATTCCCTCACAGCACACAGTTGATGTTAAGATTCAATGCTTCACTCAAATCTAGAGGGAATGCACCTTCACCTTCCAGGAGTTAGTTGTTCTTCAAGATTTGCTAAATAAACAAAACAATTCCATGCAGGTTTGAATTTGTATAATTGTTCATTTTAATGTGTGTTGACCTCTTTGATCTCCCTCCTTTGATTGTTACATACTGGTGCACAGTGAGATGAAGAAAAGCACTGACATTGATATTTAATAAATGTTGTTCAGTCAGTCTTTTCAAACTGGTCTGCAATGTTTTGTCATGCAATGGCCCTTCATGTTTAACAGACGCACAAAGACACTGTACTGCACTATACTGTACATAGGCATGCTTTAGGAACATTACAGTGTTTTCAGATGACCCTATTCAAACTGGAATATTTAACGTGTTTAAAATAAACAAGACAGAAAGAAAAATATGAGAAAAACCCATCAGCACAAAGCATCTCTTTTTGGAGAATATGAAGAAGCGATCCATTGTGTGACCCTCATTTCAGCCTGGATGAATGTCTACTATCGACATGTGCATAAATGGGGTGCACTTCACAACATTACAAAACGTAATGATTTAAAAAGATAATAATATATTCAATTTTGAACAATCAAGATGTCAAAGAAAATGTTTTTGACATTGTTATATGGAATCAATTATGCGAAGTGTCAAATGTTCACAGAAAAACAACTGGATTATTCTGTGAAGAGCTTTGGAAACTAAACCTGGTAATTATACAACTCATAACAATGTTCCTTCACTTCATATGATTTCTATTTGTTTTTTTAGTGGGTCTAGAGTCTCACCTGTGTGTGTGGGTCATTCACAGAAACAGCCTCTCTTTAATATGACCTCCATGTAAAGTTTTAAGAGAACCTTTTTTGTAAGTGTTTAGTGCGTGTGTGTGCATGCGTGCCTGTGTGTGCTATGCTCCGTCCACATGCTGGCCCTTGTTTGAGCTGCACTGTGCAGATCTCAGTACTGACATAGAGCTGACATGTGCCTGGTTCTGGCGACAGGTTTAATTTTCATTATTCCTTTAGAAAAAGTTAGAAAGATTCACATTTTACACAATTTGACCACAAGCGTGATGAGAAAAGACCACTCAGTAGGAGGTGTATGTTCTGATGGATCTACCCCGCATACCTATGTGTTAGGAACAGAATGCAACACGTCATACAGTAGGTCAGGCTATTTCACTTATTTTAAACTGTTAATGGCCCCTAAAACAATACCCAACCTGGCAACCCCACAGTGACAATGCGAGACATGCTGTTGATCGTCAAAATATCCTGTAGTCCCCCAACACCTTGAGAAATTAATGTTTTTATATTTCTGTGTACAGACCAATCAAACATGTCCATCAGTGAGTTCAATGGCTTTTTTTATTTGATGGACTAAGAGCCATATTCTCATCTGACTTCCCTAGAGAAAGGGAATAAACGTTGTTCATAATGTTGGCTTGTGTATGTGGAGCCACTATTTATACAATTTATTATGCCGAACTACAGCACATTAAGAGAAAGAAGACAGTAGTTTCACAGTATTTTACAGACTGAAGGTTATCGTTAATTTTCAGAATCCAGTATTTCAGCTTTATGAAGTACCTATCCCCTGTACTGCACTCTTCCTGTCTGCCTGACCATGAGAGGCCCAAAAACCTCTCTTCTCTGTGAAAAAAGACTTTCAAATATATTCTCTGGACACTTTTTGGTCCCACAAACATCACAGGGTCTGTTAGACTCCTCTCTTCCCCGTCCTTACCACTGTGATCTCATATGGACTTCTGTTTTTCTATGTTGTGAATTTTCTGTATAAATGTATATTTGATAGTATACCTGTGAATGATGTATCAGTTTTAATTATTTGTAATACTGTCATTGGTTTATTTTGTTAAGAAAGACAAGAAAATGAAAAGAAAACACAACAAACTGAGTTTTTTAGTTGCTGACTTCAATAAAAAACTAAAGCAAAGGTGATATGAAGTCTGCACACCATTTGATTCACTCACATGATCGTCCATTCTGCTTTTCTTTTTTTTTATTGTGAGCAGATTGTGATGACACAATACTCCCAGAAATGTACCCATTCATCGTTCTTTAAAACCCTACAACCCACCATCCAGCACTATTCACTGTCTTCAGGGCAGTTCAAACATCTCCAACGAGTTCCAGTGAACAGGGACATGCATTCACCTGGATCCCGGTTTCCGCTGTGATGGAATCTTTGGACACAAGAGGGAAGTAGAGCATCAGACTGAATGTTTCATATTTACACAAATCGCCGGGTTACGTATTGTAACCCTTGTTAACACAGGCAGAGCCCTCTACTGGACTCTATGGGCACTACCTTATCATGCAAGCATTCACCTGCTGAGATTTCTATAGACGTAGCCGGCCCCTGAATGCGCGCCCATCTCACTTCCGTATAAAAGGAGGCCCCGCCTCCTGAACATCACCTTACACCACTCTTCAGCGAGCGGAATAGGACAGACAGTGCCCCAGGGTAGAGGGCTCCACCTGTGTTAATATAACAAGGGTTACAATACGTAACCCGGCGTTATATCTCTCACAGGCTCCGCCCTCTACTGGACTCTATGGGTACAGTGGGCGGAGCCTCGATGTCCAGCACACCGTTCCACCTCACTGTTTAGCAGCCGCTGTGCCTCACTCACCTCTCCCTCGGTTGTGACCGTGGAGAAGTCTGGGCTGACCGAGCATACTCTGCCGCGCTTACCTCGCAAACAAGTGTGCCCGAAAAACAGTGCTGAGGGCTCCCATCCGTCCGCCTATAGGCAGACAGGGAAAGTCCGCAGCTGTATGGGTTCACTATGCACCCTCTCTCCTGAGTCCCTAAGGAGCACGGGGAGAGTGCAAGTGCCCCCCATGTCCCCACACTCAGACACTGACCCCGTGCAGAGTGTGTACGGACTATAGTATGGAGGGCTCTCCCCCTCCTGCCCCCAGACAGGTGAGGGGAGCCCTCCAGCCCTGTAAGGGCCCAGAGCGCATTACGTCACCCCGCGACCCTCCAGGGGCCCGGAGAAAACTTAAGCGCATTTACGTCCGGGGAGGGGGTCAGATGCCCACTGACCCACATTTTGTTGTGTTGTAGTCTACAGACACAGTTAATAATAATTGTAATAGTCCAGTTATAAACGACATGAATCAAAGATGTGTTGCTGTATTTTAGTGGTAAACAAATGCATTCATCATCATAATTATTCTATATATATAATTTACAGTGCCTGTAAACCGGAGGAGAACGCTGGCCTTTATTCTCCTACTTGAACGACTACGGAGGGAGGGGGAGGAGAAGGAGCCGGTTTTGGGTGCACCCCCTCAACCAGCAAAGGAGACAACAAGGTGATTTTCATCACCTCGTGGCTGAGCTGAGGCTGGACAGCCAACGACATCCTCGATATTTTCGGATGAGTGCAGAACAGATGGATGAACTTCTGTCCCTCCTGGGCCCTGAACTGACCAGACAATCCACAAATTACAGAGCTGCCATCGAACCCAAGCAGAGACTGGCTGTTGCACTGAGGTAAGATGCACATTTCACAGACAATAAATTACTGACCACAAGTTTAATAAACGTTTTAATTATAAAAATGTCGCCCAAAAAACATTTGAAACCGAAACATCAAATAGCTGTTGAAATGTACAACAATGAACACAAAAAAAAAACTATTTACAACAAACACAATTAACAGTAACTACAACTCTTCATAATAAGACCCCCCAGGTCCTGCCATGTTGAGCCACTGCTGGAGGACAGCATTTCGGTTAATGGCCCTATAGGTGTTGTGGGGGTTGGGTTACAGTTGGCCGAAAGGCTACTGGCCTGGAGGTGTGAATGGAATGTTGTGACATGGGGGGGGTGGTCAATTGGCTTCAGATGAATACAATTATTTCACACATTTTTCTTTGCTTGTTTTTCCCTTCACAGATACTTGGCTTCCGGGGACTCACTGATCAGCCTAGCATTCAACTATCGCCTAGGATGCACTACTGTGACAAACTCTGTCCATATGGTGTATGCAGCCATTGAGAAAAAGATGATGGAGAGGTTCCTACCCAGGCCAACAGAAGAAACATGGAAGGAGGTCGCACAAGGCTTCTGGGAAAAATGGAATTTCCCAAATTGCCTGGGAGCAATAGATGGAAAACACGCACCACCACGGTCTGGGAATCAGTACTTCAATTACAAGAAGACATTTTCCATAGTGCTTTTGGCACTTGTTGATGCTGACTACAGGTTCCGAGTGATTCAGGTGGGGGACTTCGGAAGAACAAGTGATGGTGGGACGTATGCCGGATCGGATTTGGGGAAAGGAATGGAGAACACTTCATGTTCCAACCAGTACCTTTCTACCTGGTGCTGCTCACCTGGGTGAGATGCCATTCGTCATGGTGGGTGACGCAGCTTTCCCACTCAAGCCATACCTCATGAGACCATACTCCGGAAAGAACCTCACTCATCAAAAGAGGATTTTAAACTACAGACTTTCCAGAGCAAGGATGGTGGTGGAAAATGCCTTCGGCCTTCTGGCCTCCAGGTGGAGAATCTTCCATCGCCGTATCAACCTGCACCCGGAAAGCGTGAACAAGCTTGTGGTGGCTGCATGCATCCTTCACAACTTCCTGCTGGCCCCTAGTGAAAACCAGAGGTTGCTGGAGGAGGAAGAGCAGCAGGGGAGATACATGGCACCAGTGAGAAACATGGGAGCAAACAGGGCATCAAGAGAGGCCTGTAATGTGAGGGAGGCTTTCTGCACCTTCTTCAACTCTCCTAAGGGCAGTGTGTCTTGACAGGACAGGATGGTGTGATTACTGGAACACAATAGTTATTATACCGCCAAATCGATTGAAAAATGTGTTCTTTTTTCATTCCAGAAAATTATAAAAAGTTATTGTACTACCATTTGCATTTGTAAAAAAGTGTTCTTTATTTGTAATATGCTATGTTATTTCTTTTCAAATCAATAGTTTTGTCTAACAAATGACTGCCAAATGATTCTTGTCTGTCCTCACAATTTATCTTCAGACTAGAAATGCAAGGACCACCACAGCATACTGTATTTAAACATTATTGACAGTACTTTGTGTAGTTGTTATAACACTATACTCACATTTATTTTCACTATATCTGTAAAGCGTCTTTGAGCACCTGTAAAAGCGCTAACAAAATACATCTATTATTATTATTATTATTATTATTATAGCTAAGTGAAGTTAGGCTAATCCTGGATGAACTTCTGTCCCTCCTGGGCCCTGAACTGACCAGACAATCCACAAATTACAGAGCTGCCATTGAACCCAAGCAGAGACTGGCTGTTGCACTGAGGTAAAATGCACATTTCACAGACAATAAATCACTGACCACAAGTTTAATAAATGTTTTATTTTTAACAATTTCACCCCAAACAACATTTTAAACAGAAACAACAAAATTATATAAATTAAAATATGTGCATACATACCTCCTTTGCTGTACATAGGGCAAAAGGAAGGACATTATGTCGGTATACTTCCAGCCCTTTTGCGTGCCACCTGCAGATCCACTTGGAAGAGATTTATTTCTGTTTTTCACAAAAGCATCCCGGAGTGCCTTCCATCGTGCTTTGCAAATGTCGACTGAAACAAAGAATAGATTCAGATTAATAAAATGATTTCATAAGAAATAAGATCTTACTTTATTGTGAAATGCAAGTTTACTGAAACATTTTTTAATGACTTTTACAAGATGTTAAACTACTGAATGGCTCTGTACTGCACATACAAGTATTAATTAACTTTAAAACATTAATATGTTGTTGTTACCTTCCACTCCAAAAAAACTCCAGCGATTAAAAACCAGGCCTTGTCCTTTCTGATGTTGTCCTTGTAGTAAGCATTGGTTACATCGTATAAAATAGTGTGTTTTTCCACTTCCATAATGAAAACCTCGTTGTCCATTGTGCGTGTCGTAGTGAAGGTGTTGTGATGAAGGAGGGGGGTCTGCAAAATTAGTATATGTGGGGGATGGGCCTGGCCCGGATGCTCTGACCGTTCCACTTCCTGCCTGCCCGACCTTACGTTACGGCTGCGTCGTGTCAAAAATAGAATTCATCCTATTTTTAGAGGAGCCCTGCGCCGAGACGCTTCTGGGACGCTTCTGAGCCGTAACGCGCCGCGTGTGGTGGAATAGCACCCATTGACTAGAGTGGCAATCGCCGCGATCGCCGTGAGCACATCGGTGCAGCCGTAACGCGCCGCAGACGGACCCGATGGAATCTAGTGGTCACTCTCCCCAGGAGAGGGAGAATGAGACGCAGCGGTGGAAAGGCGTATAGCAGCTTCCTTGGCCATGGCTCGTGTGCAAACGCGTCCACCCCCAAGGGCGGGTCGTCGCTCAGGGCCATGGAGAACCACAGGGCACAGTGGATGTTGCCTGTTCTGGATGCGTCCGTAAACACTGTGATGTAGGAGGTTAGCCGTCCCAGTGGAGACCCCCTCCGGAGGTGACCGGGGGACCCCCAGAACCGGAGGTTGCCCTCCACTGAGGGGGGGATGGTCACCAGCCGCCGTTTGTGCCTCTTGGGATCCAAACGCATATGCAGTAACCACAGCGGGACCACAATGTGAGCAGCCGCCATGAGACTCAAAGTCTGCATGACAGTTAAAGCTGTCACTGTCGCCCCCTGTTGCAGCCTGTGCACCGCCCGGAGAAGGGACACACTTCTGCTCTCTGACAGGGTGGCATGTAGCGCATCGAGCACCACTCCCAACTACAACGCCTGTTGGTGAGGTATGGGGGTGCTCTTTTTCCAATTGATCTTTTAAACACTTTCTTTATTGTTTAAGCATACATAGACAATATATAAGACAGTACACAAACATCCACAAGACATACCAAATTAAAGTACATTACAAGTCACATACATAAAATAAATAAATAAAATTAACTTCACAAACACGTGGGTAGGCTAAGTAAGGAAATATACAAACATGAAGGCAGATAGGAAAGGCTTTTATCCTTCTCCCAGCAGAGGAACATTAATCATCTCCAATTTGCTGACCCAGAGTACTCTCTAGATCAGTGGTTCCCAAAGGGTGTGCCGTGAGGTAAGTCCGGGTGTGCCGTGGGATTTTGTGACAACCATATGTTATTATTGCAATATACAACTACAGAAAAATAATTACTTTTTAATTTACTATATCAGTACTTTGTAGGTTTATATGTACGTAATCTGCGCGACTTGTGCGTCCACATCTCCACGTGCAATGCTGCATAAACATGGCTGAGTCAGCAATAACTTTCGAGGGGTCCCATTATTTTGAGTTCGTCCGAAGAATAGACAGGAATGTGACGGTGAGGTGCAAACTGTGTCCAGGCCAGAAGCTGTTATCCACTGCTGGAAACACCACGTCAAACCTCAACAAGCACCTGCAAAGAACACATGCTAATGTGAAGCTACCGCACACGCTATTTGTTGTTTGTTTATATTACGTAGTCTGTTCTTCTTCTCTGTCTTCCGGTTGTTGTGTGTTTTGAATGACAAATACACACTACCGCCGCCTGCTGGTAAGGAAAGTTATTGCCACTCACGCATGCGCAGTTCGTACGTGCTCGGCTAGTAAAGTAACGAGTTACTTTATGTAGATAGTAACGAAGTAATGTAATATATCGGCAAAATATTTACAATAGCACATGTTTCAATACTGATTGCTGAAATGTTACATTTATAATTTGTAGTTCAGGACCATGGACAATGCAGCTTCCTTGCATTGACAGTTCTCTGTGCTGAATTTCTGCTGAGTTTCCTTTGCCTCATTTTTTATTTTGTGACCTGTCTAGTTTAAATGAGTGTGTTGCTGCTTTGATGAAGCCTAATTTGATAAGGTTTCAAATTAATTTCTGAAATATTTCGTTAATAAATATTTCATGAGTAATATAGTTGTCTTTGTCACATTTTATTTTGCATTAGTAAATAATTATGCACATTTACAGATATTTTACATGATATGAGTGATAACACGTGTTAGAAGGGCTATTTTGCACAATAGGTGTGCCTTGAGATATTTACTTGTCCTTTGGTGTGCCTTGGGCACAAAAAGTTTGGGAACCACTGCTCTAGATCCACATGTTCCAGATAGTTAAGGAAAGGGCCCCATACTTGTTTAAATAGTTCTTGTTTTCCTTTAATTTAATAGGTTATTTTCTCCAATGAGACACATGCAGACAGTACTTTTAGCCATTTGCCAATACTTGGACTGTTAATATTTTTCCATGAAAGTGCTATCATGCGTTTTGCCTGCAGCAGACATACATTTAAAAAGATATGTTCTCTCTTCCTTATGTTGTGTTATTTTGGGTAACACCCTAACAAAAAAAACTTGGGCTCCATGAGTAACTGCAATGATAAAATCTCTTCTATCATACGTTTGACCTCTTCCCAAAACGTTTTTATCTTGGTACACTCCCAAACACAATGAAAGAATGTTCCCTTAGATTGTTCACATTTAAAACATAAGTCCGAGATATTACCATTGAATTTGTTTAGATTTTCTGGGGTAATATATGTACGCATCAGCTAGTTATCTTGTAAGAGCTTCTGACGGGTATTCGCTGTTTGTGATTGAGCTTTCTTACAGGCACCTTCCCACTCATCAATCGAAATGTCTTCCTGCAAATCCTCCCTCCAATTCCTGAGTTTAGCTTCGGATGACTCAGGGGAGCCAGATATAAGCAAGTTATAAAGTGCACTGCAGAAATTAGTTTCCTCCCCCCTACAGTCCTTTAACATTATGTTCTCTAGTGGTGAGTATGGAGGTATAGTTAATAATTGTTTTTGGTTTGCTCCAATATAGCTTCTGATTTGTAAGAAATTGAAAAAAAAATTCCGTGAAATGTTGTGCTTAATTGCAATGTCAGATTATCAGATTATCATCATTGAGCCTATATAGATCTTGAATTGTCTGTACCCCCTTATCTGACCAAATCTTAAACCCATTATCAGCTCTGCCTGGAATGAAGTCATAATTTCCCCAAATTGGACTAAAACGTGAGAGAGAGAGGTTCGCCCAAGTACTTCCTTACTTCATGCCAGACTCTGATCATATTCCTAGTAATAGGGTTAGTGGGGTTTTTTTATACAGGAGGGCCAAGCGCAGGCAGGCTCATTTGTTGTTCCACAGAAAATTCAAAAATGATTTCCTTAACTTTGAAAATAAGTTTGGAGGAGGAGGCAGGGGGATGTTTTGGAATAGATACAGCAACTTGGGGAGTATGTTCATGTTTAATATATTAATTCTCCTAATTAAAGAGATCGGCAAAGGCTTCCATCTATCAATTGTGCTTGTAATTGATTCCATAATAGGATCGTAATTAGAATTCACCACATCTGTTATATTGGGCACTATTTTTACACCCAAATATGTAAAATGCTCCGCAACTTTAAACTGGGAGACTGATGCAGTCGGACTACTTCTCTCTTTGGAGTTTAATAACAATATGGAAGATTTGGAATGATTAATTGTGTAACCAGAAAATTCACCAAATGTTTCTATCACTTCTAATAATACTGGAATCGATCTCTCCAAGTCCCTGAGAAACACGATGACGTCATCAGCATATAAAGCTAAACGGTGGTCCGTTTGACCTGTAGTTATACCAGAGATTTGTGGATGAGACCGAATAGCTATGGCCAGCGGTTCTATTGCCATTATAAACACAAGTGGTGATAGAGGACATCCCTGACGGCATCCCTTGTGAATCTTAATTGGTTTTGAGGTTGTATTATTTGTAAGTATTTCTGCCACAGGGTCAGTGTATAACAATTTAACCCATTTACAACAATTGTTGCCACATCCAAAGCGTTTGAGGATATCAAAAAGATATGGCCATTCGACCCTATCGAATGCCTTCTCGGCAGATTGGAGGCATTCGGTCGCAATTTCTACAGGCTCACACTACCTGTTAGCATCTGGCATCTGTTAGCATCTAGCTCTCCTACTTACAAACTTTTAGCCATCCCTGCTTATACAAGTAGTAGTTTTAGTTGTCTGCAATCTGCGGAGGCCTACTCCCACCTGTCGAGTACGGCTGTACTTAGGGGTTTTTCCTCTGGAGACGTCGCTAAGAGACGGAGCGGCTCCACCTGTTGCTGCCTGCGATCTGCAATCTACGGAGGCCTGCTCGTCGCGAAGAGACGGAGCGGCTCCACCTGTTGCTGCCTGCGATCTGCTATCTGCGATCTGCGATCTGCGATCTACGGAGGCCTGCTCCCACCTGTAGAATACGGCTGTACTGGAGAGGTTTTTACCCCGGAGTCGTCGCGGAGAGACGGAGTGGATCCACGTTTCGGGCTTGGCCTGCTTCCACCGGGCGTGT